CTCCAGTCAATGGCCACTTAGCTTGTTTTCATCATTGATGAAGACCACAGTCATAAGCTCTGTAAACAACAGTAGGTCAACCTTGAGTGGAGATTTATTCTGTAAACTGCTGTTTCCAAGGTCAAGAACTGCCAAGCTCAGCTTGTAAGAAAACATGAACAAGACCTCCAAGTGCTTGGAGTAATGGAAGGTCTGGACACCTACAGTTTAAAGCAATATTCATCACTAATGAAAATAGTGCGATACTGTGACAAGCGAGTTAATAGACTAAGTGGAAATTGTTTTGTCATCAGAGGTTCCTGAAACTATGAATGAAACGCATTCAATATTAAAATGAGATTTTCCTGATGTAAAGACAGTTTCAGTTTGTATTTTGTGTTCTCTCTTCCCCTCTCTTCTGTTCTGGGACACTGTATCCTGTGCTAATGTACGCTGCATTCTGTTTCACCAGTACAGCGGGAGTCATCAAAAACTGCAAAGAAACAGGCCACATTTCTGCCATAGCCCAGCACTTCTGCATGTGCGTGTGTGTGTGTGTGTGTGTATGTGCGTGTGTATGTGTGTACACACACACACAGAGAAGAGCTGCTCAGCAATATTAAGCGTTACTGCGACAGAACAGCTTTAGGACAGAGCAGAACAAGGATCACCTTCAGAAACAACGAAATGAAAGGCAAATAGCGAGAGGCTCCTTGATGAAAGTAACAGAAAAACTCGATGCTAAACATTTACGGTGAAAAAACAAACTAAACATTAACCCTTCCTACCAGAAACAAAGCCTTAATGTGGCCTTGAATTGTCCAGAAACAAAAACAGGATCAGTAAAAACACAATAACGCTCACGTAAATTTAACAAGTTTCAGTTTCTGGATCATAGATATTTTACACTATGTGACAATCAAAGTGCTTTAATACTGCAGACATTAGTTGATGAGCCCTTTACATCAATGCATGCAAAGACAACTAACACGACTTCACCAGGCTGTGTGTGTGTGTGAGTGTGTGTTGTTTAGGGTGTGACAAGAACTCTAAACATGTAATAGTGTAATTTTAGTGGACCATCAGACATATGCATGTGAGCACGCGTTCATGTTGGAGTGTAGGAAAGGAGCATTACACATGCACCATAATACAGACCTACATCCACCTACACACACATGCACATACTGTACACATATACACAGAGCAACAGCTTCGACAAGGCACTGCAATCAATTAAAGCAAATGGGACATTATCACAGCTCACCTAACAGTACCATCTAACACACACACACACACACACACACACACACACACACACACACACACACACACACACACACACACACACACACACACAAAACAAGCACATAACCACATTCTTTTCAGGCATGACTACAAGTTTTAAATAGTCCAAAATTGCAAATTTGCAGTCAAAGGGCTTCACAGCTTGTACAGAATGCACCACTTTAAACCCTTGATCTGGTCACAGAAACACTCCCTGACAAAATCACTTTAAAAGGAAAAAATATCAAATACCAAATGAAATAATACTAATATTTTACTAAGTATAAGTCTGTCTATCAGGTAATATGTATTTATGCCATCACTCTTTTCACGAGGCCTGCTGTCAAAGTAAAGATCTCCCGTTTGTCCCAGAAATAAAGTGTGGTGCTGCTGAAGTGAAGTGTGAGGATGACACCGATGAGAGAACACCCAGGGTTTTCTACTTTTGGCTGCAGTTCACACTCCTGTGCGCTGCAGTGAAATATTGTCCCTTCTAGCTTTAGAAATTACTCGACACATCCTCGATCTGACATAGACACAATCAGTGAGTCGCTGTCACTTCGGCACTTAATATACAGGAGATCTAATTTAGAAAATACCAGATGTCAGTGACAAGAAAACACTGTCGTTGCTGAACACAAATCAGATGGGTGGTACTTTCCTCTGAGACGTTTCATTAACTATGTACATGTACATATGTGTAAGCCTGTGTGCATTTGACTTCAGACTGATTTGTGCGTGTCATGTCTGTTTGTACAACAGCACATCTGTGTCTAGCTGCTAAGTTGTGTGTGTGAGCGCCTGCATGGCCTCTAACGATGATGAAATATGTTGCTAATGCTGTGGGTTATTTCAATGGGATGAAAGTTGTTGTATAGCGGTGGCTGTGAATTGTGTGTGTGTGTAAAGCCAGTAGTGTGAGTGTGCATGTATGTGTGTTTAATTGGACCTCCCTGAGCGAGTCTCCAGGTAATGGCACTCATCTGCACTTCCCTTGATTAAGGACAACAGATGGACTGCTATCACAACACACACATGCACACACACGTTTGTTTTCATTCCTCAGGGGACCTTTACATTGAGAGACTTGCCCTAACCTTAACTATAACCTTTATGTGACTAACCTGAACCCTTACCCTAATCCTATCCTAACCTTAAACCAAGTCATCACCCCAAAATTCAATGACTTACACAACCCCCAAGTGAGTAATTCCAAGCGTGCACACACAGAATGCTTACATCAAATACACATACTGTAAAAGTAATGTGGCCTATAATCAATACTAAATACAAAACAGAATACAGTATTTGTCATATTAAACGTGGACTTCAACACGCTGTACATATGACTCCTCTGGCCCCTAAATATTGAAGCATCAAGCGTCAGTTGGTTCAATCATTACCACTTCTGTCATCACTGTCAACTATGCAAGAAAATAGGTATCACCCTCATCCTTCTGCAAATCATCCTCATGCTGCCTCTTTAACTTGGCACCTCCTCCTCACTGTCCTTCCTCATCTGTTTGACTGACAGAGGTAATGAGTTCATTTAAGGATAAAGATCGAAGAAAGACTGAGGTGTGACTAAAATCTGACTGTATGAAACCGCCCTTCCTGTCGCAAAATGCACCATATCGGACAATGACAGTGTGTACATTTTCTAAACACAACATTTTATTTGTGAATGCTATTCCTCGTGCACAGTACAATGCACACAAATACACACTGACTTCTTCAGGCTCTGAATATCCTACTTCATTTCTCCATATTGTCTAATAATGCACAAAGTCACTATGCAGGTTACATTGTTGAGTATCAGCTTAACAATTCCGTTAACTTTCTACAGAGCCAGACCCCATTAGCTCCAATAAACTCCACTGCCAGAGCTGATACGACAAACTCTACCTTTACTGCAAATACTTGAACTTTAAGTTCTCTGTAGCTCTGAGTCATCCGCTAAGCTTCCTCTAACCTTTAACAGATGTTGGGTAACTTTCTAACAGCACACAAAGTCAGTGATATCCTTCACTACACCTACCTCATTAAAACAGAGCAATACTTTAAAAAAAACACAAACACAGTACTGTGTACTTTCACACCCTGGGACCTGTTAAAATATCTTTTTACACTCTTGGTCTGGATCTAAAACTGAAAGGAGTGGTCTTTCTGAACCATTTAAAACCTTATGTAGTAGTCAAGATGGTCCACGGAATTATAAAACATATCTGAAAACACATTTAAAGCATATTTTCCCTTTTCTTTTAGAAACAATATTAAAGTAATATTAAACATACTTGTGGATGGAGACAGAGAGGGACGGAACAAAACAAGTTAGGCTGAATAAACACAATCTACACTGCAGATGATTGATTAACCTCTCCAATTCTCTTACATAATATCATCACAGAGCAGAGACAGTCTTCAGATCTTGCAGTAAAACTTTTGAGTGAACCCAGTTTGACCCTGGAGCAAATACGCTCTTCTCTCATTTTAATTCGGCAGTCACTGTAAAACACTCCATTTGGTCTACACCCCATTGCCTTCGGGACAACATTAATGATAATTAGGAAGCTCTCAGCATGCTGGTTAATATTCACCATAAAATCCATGTCATCCCAAAAAAAGATAGAATATGCTTAGCAGGTGACCACCTAAAAGAAGAGGGAAACCAAAAGGAGCAGGCAAACCTCCGAAAGTCGAGCACAATGGGACAGTATTTAAAATTGGTGTTACATGCTGAGATTGCTGAATCAAATCGATGAGTGCTTTAAAAACCCAACAATAAGTCCCATTCTTATCTCCCCTAAACATGGCACCTTGCCTCAGACATACACAATGGTGTCTTTACAGTACTTGTGAGGACACTCACTGATGTAATGCATCCCTTATCCCCCTACCCTGACCTTAACCATCACAACTAAATGCCACACCTCAACCATTTCTTTAACCCTAACCTAAACCTAATTCTAACCCAAATCACCAAAAAGGGGCGAGGACACGCTAAATTGTGCTCACAACGGTGGCGAAAAGAAAAACTGACCCACACAAAATAATAAACACACACACACACATGTTCAGAAATGGAGAGAAGAAAGAAGGAAAGAAAGAAAGAAAGAAAGACTATGGTGATAACAGCTTCAATAAATCATCCGGGCCAGTCGCCGCTCCCCGGGGATGTGGGATGGATTAAATTAAGCACTCCCTCTACCCGTGTGTCTACTCATCTCTCTCTCCCTCTCTTTCATTGCGCCGTATAAATGCCAACAGCTGATCGCCAGACGGCACACTCACGGGAACACCTCGCGGAAGCTGCAGAAAGAGAGAGGCCGAGGGGAAGAGAGAGAAGAGAAAGGGGGAAACAGAAGGAGACAGAGGGGGATGCTGTTGATCCTTTCGGCTGCAGGGAGTCTTTTTGTGATTTCTTTAACCAAGCTGAACAGTCGCTGTTAACGGGAATTAAGGACTACTTCTGTGGCAAAGAGGGAAGGACAAGGTGTCCGAGATTATTTTTTTTAAAGCTTCCAAAATCGTCCTTCCATTTTTTTCTCTTATTTTCTTCGCATCCCTCCTCCTCCTCTTCCTCCTCCATCTCTTCTTCCTCTTCTTCAAAGAGGCCCGAGAGCCGCCGCACGCTGCAGGGTGCCTTCCACCGCCTGTTACACATTGTTTTTGATTCTCTGACAGCTCCCGAGCCCCCGTGCTCCCGTCTGCCGCTTGCCCGCGAGCACAGACAAGGCACCCCGGAGGGAGCTGTCCGGTGCTGAAGTTGTATTTCTCTCCTTCACTGCACGAGGACTAAAGCGGGGAGGCAGGAGGCAGGCAGACAGACTGAACCAAACAGAAAGAAATAAGCCCCGGTTGAACGGACAGTCTTTTACCGGATCAATTCACAGCTCAAGCTTCTTCCAAAACCTGAAGACAATCTTCCTCTGGTTCGCTTGTCTTGTTGGTGCGTAACAGGCGAAATCTTCACGCTGGCCAGGCCGTGGGCGATTGGCTGTGTTTGTGAGTGTGTGTCGTTGTGTTTGTGAGAGTGTGTGTCGGTGTCGCACCACCATGCCAAGGTCTTTCCTGGTGAAAAAGGTGAAACTGGATGATTTCTCCACCGCGGCGGATCTGGAGAACGCCTACCGCCACAGGACAGACCTCAGCCTGCGGCTCCATGACAAAGGTAGGTCAAGCTACCCACACAGCGAGGACTAACAGGTTGTCTCAAAAAACAAGTCTGTCTCAAAGATCAGGACGACGACAGTCAGTAAGATACGTGTGTGACTAAGGGGCAGATCTACCTGTTGGCATTCCTTTACTGCGATCGGGCTGGCACGTCTGACCTGCAACTCGTAACAAAAGATAACTAGGCTATACAATTCACGGAGGGACTCACGATACTCAAGATTTAAAATGAGCTTTGTCTAATTCACTGTTGCATGTGAATTACATCTGCCGACGAAATGGACTGTCCTTACAATATTCTGTAACATTTCTATTGCTAAATAAGATGGTTTATTTTTAACCTCTCCGTCAGAAACGCTTTTTGGCTACCTGTAAGATAAGCAGCCTATAATCATCGATTACAAAACAACAGCAGACAGCATAGAGTTATCACATAGTAATTACCTTTCTCATGGGTAATAAAAGCTTCAAAGCCGCACAGTGCATTGCAAAATAAGCAGTTCTACGAGACTCCAGAGAATTGTTCGACCATAAGAGCGATGGGACTGTGCGAGCATGGGATGAAAGAGACGCGACAAAAGGCTGAAGAACTGCCAGTCTCCACCAATACTCCCTGTTCAATGAGCGTAACCACGCACATCACCTGACATTTTATTTACTGAGAGTCAAAACGGGTTTTATTTGAAGAGTTTAGTCTGTTGTAGGAGTTGGGTCGCGACTGAAGCGGAAAGGTCACATGAGAAATCCACTAAATACAGAGCCTCCCA